CTCTCCTCATGTGTATCAATCAGTTTATTTCTTATTTTTTGCTGTTAGAGATTTGATTTTTCTATAAAAATTATTAAAATATTTTAAAAATCTATCAAAATATTTACTTTTTAGAAAAAATTTTGAAATTCTCTTTTTTTCAGAAAAAGAACGTATTTTTCCTGCAGGGGATTACAGAAACCATCAAGGTTTTCAGCCAAAAAATGGTTTTTGGATAGAAACCGATAGCATTTCTGAAAGAGCGGAAGACGGGGTATCTCCCCATGTATTTATCTCAATTTCGGAATTTTCGACGAAACTGACTTTTTTTGAGGAGGGGGGGGGGGGCGTAATATTCTGACATTGGCTACTAAGTGAGTGATGATTTCCATCACATTGCGCACATTTTGGTTGTTGCAAGCAGTTATGGGTTTGGTTTTCAGTGATTTCTTGAAGGCATATACGACAACAGGCAAATGATGCTTGACATTTATTTCTGAGGTGTTCAATACACCAACATCGAGTACAATAAGTTATGGATACATGCGGGTGTGGGTATGGGTGGGTGTGGATGTGGGTGAAACAAGAACATTATCACCCACACCCCACAAGAAATGAGTTCGGCATTTTAGTTTGTTTTATGTTCCTTGTCTTTTCTTTACTTCGTCTTAGAGAATTGAATCATATGAGCAATCGATTTAGTGTCATCAACTATATCATTTTTTGTTGTTGTCAACAATAACAATGGTTTATTATTTTGATTTGATTGCGATCATAGATTCATAACTACAGAATAGTTGCATAACAGTAGTCGATATCTTCAAAGCACATCTTTGAATAAAATATTGTGAGATGAATGCGAAGCTATGATGGAACTTCCTATTATAATAAAAAAACGAATTCTATAGGGTAAAGAGACAACTCAATGCTTCATGATTATTTGAAAGTTAGTTAAGACTATATTTTCTGACTATCTTAACTCGATACACACTTAACATTGATACATCTACCGGCGTACGGTTGGAATAAAGTTAAAATAGTTAGAAAATATAGTTTTAACTAGCTATCAAGTAATCATGAAGTATTGAGTTGTCTCTTTACCTTATAGAATTCGATTCATCGAGAAATAAAACAGGTAAAAACGCGTTCGAAATATGAAGCGAAAAAATCGTAAAAGTCGCACATTTTAACGCGTTAAACTATCCAAAATCGTAAAAATTTGTCAATACATGTAACAAAAACAACACCGTAAAATTAATAAATAGTTATTAAGCGTTTAAATTCTGCACAATGAAAAACTCGTTTCAGAATTATAACGTATACGCAACGCGTTTACTTTTGGCCCGTTTTTACATGTTTTTTATATTGATTTTGTCTGACTGGGTATATCAATACTTTATGGAAACTGTTGGAATATTATATGTTTTAAGATCAAATACATCATCGGATGTCTAATAAGCTATTTAGTTGAAACATGCTCAGTAAAGGGATACTTGAAGTTGCTGTTCATATATTGAGCTAAATTTCACAACTAATATTCTGCAGTATCTATTAAAGGAATTTTATGTATGTTGACAGTGAAACTATAATTTTGCCGTTTGTTTTATCTTCTGTCATTTGTAAAATATTACTATTAAAAATATGACCTGATTTATTTTCTCTTTGAGAGAAAATAACTGCTTTTTGTAAAAAACAATGGAAACACAACTTTGCTTTAACGTAGACAATGCGTTCCAACGAACTATTAGAGATAAGGCTATTTTTTTTATTTCACTTAATACTTTTAACACAGATTCGTGTAATAATGAGAAAAAAATCATCTTAAGATTGATTGCTTACATGTTTATCCACTTGGTCGGTACTCACTAATAACTTCTCACGCATTTAATTGCTCAATTGATCTTATTGGTGATAATTGGGAGTGCATTCTGCACAAGTAGGTGGTACAATCAGACGTCAGTGAATGCCTTATTTGAACAGGGCTAATGAATTTCATATATTCTATGGTACAAATTCCTCTTCAAATGAAAAGAATCCATTCATAAAATATATCGATAAACTTTGCGTTTTGTAACTCAATCATCTGATACTTATTTTCTTACAAAGTGGAGAGGTGCTTGAAAAGTATTATGAAAAGTCTTAAATCGTTGCTTATGTTTCCCGTCGTAATGTTGACCATGATGTCACCGTTTCAAATGTTGGTAGTCGAAAATAACTGTATGACATATGATCATCGGTAACTTTAGTAATAATGATTCTACCACCATCTCGTGTAATGCTAGTCGGAGGCGTGATCGCTTCTTCGAATGTGTATCGATCAGCAGCACAGTCTTGTTCTATTAATTTCCATTCACCACCGCTTCCACCAATCGATGGATATTCTATTTGAAATTCATTCTTGCTCGTATCAGCAGTGAATTTCATCGACCAAGCCACCCCGTCTTACTGATAGGGTGTAGGTGTGGGTGTGTGTCAAAAGAAGTAGCACACCCACACCAAAACCTATTCGCAATCGAACGACTTTCTCTGCTCCTCTGATAATATACCCTGAAGGTCTACAAATATCAAAACCAACTGTTAAAATTAAATTAGGACAAGATAATACACCACATGGGGGGAGAGATAGTCGAATATGCGCATATTCGACAACACTACTCAATAATAGTGGTGCCCACTTACCTACCTATTGATAGGTCACTCCTTGTTCTTCGTATATATTGTCGTGTTTCTTAGAAAAATGTCATTGTAAATTTGTCTTGAAAATGATATGTGAAATATCGAAACATCGACACTAATTGTATTATTAATGAATTCTTTTTTAAATAAAGAAATCTAGCTGTTGTGAAGCATTTTCTACTACACTTTTACATCCTCGGTATAGATTGTTGAAGAAATGTTCCTTATATGAAGTGCGAGAATGCCATTTATATATTCGACAACGTATGGCACAAATTAAATCGATGAAAACGAACAAATCAACATCTGATATTTCAGAAAAACATTCCTCAATGGTTAATAATGTAACGTTAAATGAACCAGTAAAGAAAAAGCCAAAACGATTTGGAGAAGATTTTGAAGCTGGAAATCTTAGTGATGAATTGGATAGTGAATATGATGATGAGTTAAACAAATATTTGGAACAACGTATTGATACAGAATCAATTGATGATAGTCCATTATCATTTTGGTATAAAAATCGATTTACCTATCCTATTTTGTCTCAGTTGGCACGTTCGATTTATTCCATTCCAGCTAGTGCCGCTAATGTGGAACGTACATTTAGCGGAAGTGGAATAATGATTAACTCCGGATGTACTAGATTAAATCCTGAACAAATCAGTAACGCCATGTTTTTACGTCCAGTAAAAGAAATGAGTGATTGTATTATAATTATTTTTCATTTTCATATGTTTATTTATTTTTTCTATTTCGAAATGATGTTTATCCATTTAAAATATGTCTTTTCATCTCATGAAATAAAATAGTCATTATGAAAAATTTAATGAAAAATTTGTCAAGAAATAGTTTTTGAAAACATATTTTGGACGGGGAGGGGCGGGGCGGTGCGGAACTTTATTAACGGGGCGGGACGAGGCGGTGATGGTGCGACTTTTTTGCTGACTCATCCATCCCTAGTATGCACTTAATCTTAAATCATCTTTATACGTAATATGTAACTGAAATGGTTTTTCTTCACTATCTTTTGACCAATCGGTTAGCATTCGTTCTGCTGTTTTTAAAAATGCAGATAATGGAAGACGATTTCTTAATGTGTAATCTTTTTTAATTCTACCATTAAGTAATTCTAGTCCATTATTTGTTGATGGTGCTAAACAAGCGGCTCCTTCATACCAATTCGGTAACGATGATATCCATTCTTGTTCAAAATATTGTCGAAAATCATTTAATTCAGCATCTGCCGACCATTTTAATAACATAAGATGTGGTGCTGTTGTAAATATTTGATCGTCAAATATTAATTGCGTACTAAAAATGTATTGTTCGACTAATAACCGCTTTTTTTTAATCTTTAATTAGTTTTGCATATTCGCGACATTTACGAATCATATGAAACCAGCATATTAAACGTTTTGCTAATGGAATTTCAGACATGGCACTTGTTAAATCTACACAAATTAAGACCAAAGATAACTGTATTGCAAAATGATTTTTTGTACACAGCTTTGTTACTTACCAGGTGCTCCATCAGCCATAACATGCGAGATTGTATAGGCTTGATTACTAACTGCTGATGCCCATTGTTGAATACCACGAAATAATGTACGAAATGTATTCGCTGATTCGTCTGTTGACATTAAACAAATACCCATTGGATAAAATCGACGATTATAATCAGATGTTCCAAATACTAATAATGGTAATTCATTTGTTGTTATTTTGTAAGTGCAATCAATAGCCAGTACTGATGAATATTTACATGCAGATAATAACTGACGTATTGCTAAACATATGAATAAATCATTCACGTCATTAGCGACATAATAAGGTATAAATATGTCGTGTTGCTTATTTGGTGGGGTATATTTTGACGTAATAAACACCACTGCGGTAAATCTTGAATGAATTTAATACTTGAACGATCTTTTTGACGATGAACACGAGCAACATACATAACTTCTGTACCAATAGACAAATCTGGATGTAACGCTTTGATTACTTTATTAATTTGAGATGTTATTATGCCGTTGTCTGACAGTTTAATAATGTTCTCACGAATTGGTGATGGTAGTCGACTTGTTGTATTCCGTTGTTGATGATCATGAAACCCTGATAAATATAACTTATATGTACCATCAGACGACTGCTTTGCTTTCAATTTGAAATTTACATAATGGATATTTCCGATATTCTGAACAAATATATGTATAACATAACCCATAATTAAATTGTCTGTACGTTTTCTACAAGTATTATTTTCTTTGGTGATTGTTAATAACTCATCCTCATCTTCACGTACAAAAAATTCTTGCCATATTCGAGTAGACATGTTGATAACAGTATATTATTGAAGTAACAATTATGTGTTATGAGAATTATTACTCTTACAAACGTTTTTATAGTTTTCAGTTGAAGACAATGACTGTTGCCCTTATAGTCTGAGATAACGAGATGAATAAACCGCTCAAATTGACATGTTCTTATTGGATTACAATAAACAAATCTTATCTGTCCTTAATCTTGACTGTTGCCTTTCATAGATTGATTGGATTAATCACTTAATAAGCAAAAGTTGCACATTGTCTCTATCTAGCATGAACCAAAGAGGAAGCCGGAAAGTCATGATGATAAAAGCGTATATTTAACTACGAAAAGACCATATAGCTGTTCGATGAGCCTCAGATTGAAAAACGGAGCCATAACTTGCTAATATTCCGGGATCAATTATGTTATTCGAGAAAAAAAATAACTTTTTTCTGGATCATTTGTGTTATTATATAGCTAATTAAAAATTATTAGAAAAAACAGGATCATTTGTGTATTTTTTGCGAAAATTAATAACCGGGATCGATTGTGCTTAATTTCCGGGATCAAAAATGTAAGTGTCCAGTTGAAATTGAATTAAAAGTGCAAAGACATGCTCAATCATTACTGAATAAACATAATGAACAAAAAAAAAATATCGTTGATGAAACACAAATTTCCCTTAAAGATGTTAAAGAGAAAATGGACTTTTTAAAAATGAAAATTCACAAATTAAAAAAAATACAAATTCATCGATAAACCAATTTGATTCAATTGAAGAAAAAATTCAATCAATCAATAAACAACTTCAAATAAAACTTAAAGTATTTATTTCACATTTTTCTCTTTTTAATGAGTTCCATAAACAATAAAATCGCTAGGTAAAAGCAGATGTAGAAACTTTTTTAACTACATATAATGGACAAAGAACACAAAAAATATGTGCTGAAGCTCAAATTTTATTATAAGATGTAAAAGGGAAAATTGGACTTATTTAATTAGAAATAAAATGTCTTCAATATGAATTTACTTAGGGTATACCAAAAGTTCGTGACCCGACATTTAAAATTTTATAAAACAGTAAATATTGAATATTTTATTATGGAAATACATAGTATAACGTCTCGTCTTTAAAAATCTATAGAGAAGCTCTGTCTTGGATTAAGTTCTAACATCCTGCTAGAATAAAGATATAGTACTTATGGCCAAGAAAAGATCATGAAAATATAAAACCAGAATACGAAAAGTAAGAGATATTCGTAGTTTTATTTTATTAAATGCTCAAAATAATCACCATTATTTTCGATACAAAGTTCCATCCTCTCTAACAGTTTATCGAAAGTCTTTTTAAACTCGT